CCACATTCAAGTTCATAAAGGATTCAATAGGAGAGGGTACAGGAGTTCTTCCATAAAAGCCACTTGTGAGCTCGATTGTTCCAATGAATGACAACTGAAAACAAGTAAAAAGTGCTGCGACTCTTACGTGTGGCAGTGTAGAAGTATGTAAAGAGGAAAGAGCAATTATTAGGAGTCCATCCGTTGCTTATAAGCCAGTGACTCATCCACAATACGTAATTTCCGAGTTGTCCAATATTCAATGAGCTGACTTGGCAAAACCGGTATGAAACAGTCGGACAGTATGTGTAGGAAAGAACCTTGTCGCCGTGTCACTGCGCTTCTTCCTGCTTGCGCTTTCATGTAATCTGGTTTTGGTTTCTTATTAGACCTACGTTCAGATGATGTTCTTTCACAACTTGCGTTACAGTGTTGAACCACACGTTGAACATCAGCGCTCTTTTAACTGAACATCACTGTTCTACACGAACATTCGCTGCAAACATACGATGGTGAACAATCATCTGTCGATTATTGTTAGAAATACTTCCTATGAATATGACAGTGGACATAGAACAGAACAACCTGTTTCACATTTCTGTAGCTGCTGACTTTTCCATTGGGATGGCTTGGTAAATTCCGTTTGGGAGAGACATAGAACAATCCAGCTCCACGTTCTCAGATGAAACTTAATGGAGTATCAGTAAAGAATAGCAAGCTTCCAGGAAGGGAAATGTCGACAGCTTAGTGAAGAAACTCGTTCGGAATATACGCAAAAGAAAGGTAAGTGATTAAATAAACAGCCTATAATTGGTGGACGTCGTTAAGAAACCGTAGATGGCATCTATCAGATGAAAACCGGGATGGCTTCTACACCACAGTGATGCTGAAATTTCTTCAAAGCTCAGACCCTGGACCAGATCCGAACCCACGATTACTTCTTCCTGTGACTCATGTGTTATCCACTGCACCACTGTAGCTTTTTCTCAGCCGGTTTTCTACGTAACGATGCCATTAGCAATGATCTGTCGACGGGAAATGAACTGAGGAGCAGAAATTGGCGTTCAACCCAGTTAAGCTGAGGCTACAGTCGAAATCACGGTGTATAACTTTTTTGTTCACCAAAATTTGGCTTAGTGTCTTAGTTTTCCAGATAACTCAGCATCATTGTGGTTGTATTTCGCATAATAGTCTACAGTGAAGAACCAGTATTTTTTTATTTTATTTTATTTGATCCGTCTTCATGTCTATTGTGCGAATGCCAGCACTTCTCTCATCCAATTCTTTTCCTCGCATCCATCGTCCACGAAGGTCTTCCAAGTTTTTACATGTGGGCTTGGTTGTTGCTTAAGGATTTCATTTCATCTCGAATGTTGTAGAATGCTGGTCGAGCGATTCTACCTAATGTTTTGAAATAGCTGGGCTGGAGCATTCCCATTTGGATTGCAGGGAGTAATTTTTTCCCGCAAATCCGGTAACAATTGCCCGACCCCGGAGAGATGAGAAGCTTGGTTGGCCTGGAGCGGAATCGAACTAGCAGCACACTCGTGATGACCAACATCACTTCCACCTTGCTGCCCGCCCCATGAAAAACCAGTAACGGGCGGTGAATAAGAAAGTAGCACATTGTAACCTCTAGAGCAAAGTATAATATTTTATTTACTGCCCATTATCATTTTTTTTCATAGCACGGTATTATGACTACTGGTTTTAAGAGTAACCTAACAAAAAAGTTAGCATATAGACTTCTTCACTGAAATCCTTTAAGGTTCCGCACTAAGGCAGCGGGTGAGGAAGCTCGTCTCAATTCGTAAAAGAGGTGAATTGGAACAGTTCTGGTTGAAACAGTTCAACTAAATGAAAAAAATATGGTATTAAGCGTGGTATCTTCAAAATATTTTAGAGAAGGCGCGAACATATGACTTACTCTTCGAAGCATTTAAAAGACATAATTTTGTTAACCGTGGTAATATGCTAGATATGAAGATAATCTTTACTAGCTAGGCTTTGCTATACGTTTACTCTTAGCTGGAGTAGCCGATATATTAGCAAGCTTAAGAGGTTGATCAATCTCCACCACATATCGTTACTGGTTGTGCCCACAAGTACGCGACTGGAAGCGGATTGAGGTGTAGAACCGTACATTTTATACAATGTTTCTTGGTCAGCACTTAGATAAGAACACAAGAAGTAGTAGAACAAAAACGATAACTCATTTTAGGAACGAAACTTTACACGGTTAGTTAGCTTTCATTTAGGAAAACGCATTGATGAAGTGAAGGACAAAACTGACACTAATGTAAGAGTGATAGCCGAATATTATTAATATTGATTTTTTTGCTTTAAAAATGCGGTTTCTTCGTATATTTATTCACTGTGATCTAAAAGATACTAACACTGCGCTGGATCTAGCGTCTCACGTAAACAGCTGTCACCTATAAAAGGCGCATCCTGAAAGAGCCAAGAAAGCTTCGACAGCTAATTGTTGAAGTTTTCCTAATGTGGCGACAAATCGTTAGAGAATATTGTCATAGAATTCTGCGCTTTTCTAATTTTAATAATTCAGGAAAAAGCCAACAATACTCTGACGGATGCCCAAAAAGCAGTTTTCAAAGCGTTCGTTAAGGTAGTCTTCATCGATTCGAAATCGGAATTCCCTATCAACTTGTTTACAGCGTAAACTTTTAGCGTTTATAGAAATTCGCCATGCGTTCGACTAGATGATTGTCGTAATAGTGGTGATTGGATACATATTTAACCTACATAGCCATTTTCAGTGACCTATCGAGGTGTCAAGTCCGTGTTTTTGTCCTTCCAGACAAGTCGGCTCCATTTTACCGACCTGAAGTGATGGGAGGCATGGTTGTTGCAGGGCACAGGAACGAACAGACAACCATTTTCGTATTGCAAGAGACCTTTCATCGCTGAGTTTCACGCGCTCCAGCAGTTCGTTTATCCAATAAAAAATAAGCTCTGACTAATATAGAGCGACAAAGTAGGGAAAAAATTGGAAAGATAGGAAAGGTAGCGTTGAGAGGTAATCATTTCTCAAGCTTATTTGCGAATGCACAGAAGTACGAAGTATAGATGTAGCCTACACTGTGACCTTCGGAAGGCACGCGTGTATTTCAGTGGCTTGAGGTAACCTGCTATGCGAACGTTGCTGGTTGAATGCAGAACACGGAGAAAACCCAACTTTCCAACCCATCGGGAGGGCTCGGCAAACTGGTCGCAGACTTCTTTGGGAAAAAAACACTCGATGTATCGACAGGCCACCTCAAGTTATTGTTTCTACTAGATACGCCTTTTCAATGCCTAATGGAGCTTAGTGCACATGAATCTATGAGGGATTGATAATTACCAAAACAATTATCCGTTTCTTATCCACGAGCTATAGAGGGGAAATCAATATGTACCTTAGACAGTTCGTGAATAAAATTCGAAGACGCTGCCGATGCGTTGGGACTTTTCAAAATTCAAATATCATTTTTAACTTCTTAATAATCTTAATTTCGAACATGTTTTGAGTCGGAAGAAAACCAAAAAACTGTACACAGAGCTTATATCCACAACTGAGGGGAGAGAGCAGTATTTTCTGCAAACTGCCTTACTACCCGACTCTCCAAGTTTTTCAGTTATAGAGAAACTAGCATCAGCTTCTGAAAGAACAGCTATGCTTGCTGGAGATCTAGTAGCATCACCTCTACATTTTATGCATTGTGGTAGCGACACAGTTTCTAAAAACCACTTTTTGCACTTTTTATTAAAGTACTGCTTATAATGTTTACTTTTTACTTCCTGCCTACTATATTTTTTATGACAGGGTATTAAGCGGAATACAACCACAATATTGCTAGAATATTTGCAAAACTCCGGAAAACATGAACATGCGGTGTCTCCGGTGGAGAACGAAGGCGCTATTACCCATTCAAGGCGCTAACGCGCTCACCAACACACCATGCGGGTCCTTCGCTTCGTCAGTTTCTGTTTTCTTTTCCTTAACTGCTTCTATTTCTTAACTGAGTTCAATGCCGATGTTGGCTCCCCAGATCAATCCCGTTGACGGATGATTCTTGATGACACGGATCGATAGAATTAGGTGAGAGACAGGCGAAACGAAGGACCCGCATGGTGTGGTGGCGAACGTGTTAGCTCGCGGAAGGAGAAATAACGCGCTTGCTTCCCACCGCAGACACCTGCGGTTTGGAGCCTTGCAAATATCTCAGCGATATTATGGTTATACTGCTCATAGTTAAAACGAAGAAATGTTCAGGAAGTGGTCGAGATGGGTGTAGAAGGTCGGCTGAAAGAATTCGCCGTTCTTAAATCCTATCTTGCCGTTAACTATGCAAGAAATATTTTCGATCAAAATCCGACAAAAAATCGCTATAAAGGTATGTGTATTTGGTTAAAAACTAGTTTAAAACCTCTGAAAATTGTGGTAGGAAAGCTATCTGCACAGCGACAGCATAGCTAGCCTTACACTAGGCAAGCACCCTTTTACTAAGCTGTAGACATTCCTCCGCACCTGAAGGGCATCTCAACGTGGAGGTAAACCCAGATCACCACTGTTCACCTTGGAAGTGTGGGAGGTGCCCAACAAACCATGTGGGAAATTCAGTGTGCCGTTGCGAAAAAGCCCGCGGTGAAGCTATTTTCACATTCCGCAGTAACTGAATTACAGAGATGCACGAAAAGCGCAGTGGGCTTGAGTGCCCTCAATAGACACGGAACCAGTTGCTGGTTTATTACCGTAACTCCAAGCATACCAAGCTCTCTGTCCCACTGGTTTTGACCAATTGGTGGCAGATGAAAGCACCGACTTTATAGACTTCTAGCCTATCGCAATTCGTGGTCAGGTGTATAGTCAATCACCTCTAGTATGGTATGAAAACGTTTCAATGCATGGCGCATCTTTAAGAGATTGGTCAAAAAAAGTCGAACGCGTTACAATTTTTCAGTGAACTACAGTAAGGCAAAGTGTCTCTTTCCCGAGTACGATTGATGTCATCCTTTTAGATGTGATCTGTAACGAACTTACTCGCGTAAGTATTAAAGACGGAAAGGGATCTGATTACATACATGCCAACTATGTAAAAGGAGATTATCTCCAGAACACATTCATCTGTACACAAGTGAGTAGAAGGCAGGCTTAGTAAAGAGTTTTTATAATAGTAGCCGTGATGCTCTCATACGAGACCGTAATATGAAATCCACCACACCAAGTCCGTTGACCGAAGTCTACCGAAAATTTGAGGCTACCGTTTCTTGTTTATACACACTTACTCTCCAAGTTCTCCTTCGTACAGTATAAATCATGGCACTAGCCAGGGTATCTTTGATAACCTTGCACAAAGCTGCTTCTACGAATTTTCTTTCACAATGGCTAACGTTTCGAGGAATTTAGCTTTATTCAGAATATCATCAACTGTTTTAGGAATCGAGGTCACCCCACGCAGTAAATAGACGTTTTTTTCTTTGGTTTATAGAAAAATTCCATGAATTATCAGCCATCTCGCAATAAAACTCATGATAACAATATCTTAAGCTTCCAAAAGACACTCCTTTCCAAAACAGTGTTCAAACAGAGCCACCACTTTGCCACTAATTTCTCGTCTTCTGTATGAAAGTGTCAGAACGCCGAAGAGGCTTCAGTAATCCTTTTATTAGGGTTCTTTTTCCATACTTATATCCTTTTATTTCACCACATTGGTGGAAGCCTTATAACCATGATAGAAACTACGAAGCAAGAGATCCGTTCTTGGCTTTCAACGGCTTTGCTAATGGTACATTTTTTTTCTTCAGCTGACGATTTCCCATATCTTAGGGACCAATGCCGACAACAGTCTATGACTTTTGGCGTATGATTCTCAGCGAGAACGTAACGCATATCGTAATGCTGTGCGAGACGATAGAAAATGGTAAAGCGAAATGCGAACAGTACTGGCCTATCGCTAAGGATGAAAAGATGACTATTGAAGGTAACGCGGAAACGATGTATGGAGCCGATATATCTATTTATATGACCTTATGAACTGATCTTAAGCTGACGCGAGGTTGGTACAGGTCTTCGTTGTCGCTGTCGTTGTTTTTGATGTTGTCGGTCGATGGCTGACGTTTCGGCGACTTCGCCTTCCTCAGAGCCTGGACGTATTTTATACTAGAATATTTCTATTATTCGGTGGAAAAAAGGTTAGAGTATTAATCAAGTTCAAACTTTCAAATAGACGCTATATTGAACAGAAAGGCCACTCACCGTGATGTTACGTGTGGCACTGGCCCACGCGTTGTTTACGTGGGGTCACGCACAAGGCGCACCCCGGGGTCAAAATATCACTTTGGAATAGGGCGCCAGGTCACGCGTGATAGTGAGGTATTCGTCCTTCCGCTTCATCTTTGGATTTTTGAAAATTATCAGAAACGCCTCAGGTATTTGGCGCGTTGACGTCTTCGATTCCTGCGCTAAGATCCGCACAGTCACTTCTAAATCATTGTCGTTGTGCTTTTGTGCTCTATGCGTACCTAGATGAGTGTTTTGACGGATTTTAACCTTCCTATCTAGATGTTCTTTTATGCGGACACAAAGTGGTCTACCCGTTTCCCCGATATATTCCTCGCTGCATGCATTACATGAGATCAAGTATATTATACCTAAACTCATGCAATCCCTGTCTCTCCCGTTAGGACAGATCATACAGTTTTCTGAGCTGCACAAACGATCATAGAGACGGTTTCGAACTAACTGACGGCGTAGTGTATTGGGTGGCATGTCAGTAAACGTTACATAATTTCCAAGACCACTTTTCCTTCAGTATCTCTTAATGGCGTAACTTACTTTATTTGATATGGAGGGTAGCTTAAAGGGAATCTTACTTACATCCGAAACATTATTTTGGAGAAATACCCCCACGTTTTTCTCTAACCCGAGTGGCTTCTACTTTCTAGCCATTGGCTATTTTTCGTGCCAGGTTTCGCGATTCCTTCCTTTCCTCTTCTCCTGTGCACACATTTTTGGCCGTGCGGTACATGTTTTTGACAAGTGCTTTTTTATATATGAAGGATGAGAGAAGAGGAAGTGAACTAGAATGTTTTTACTACTTGGCTTGCGATACCATTTTGTTATATAGCCACTTACTGAGAGCTTCATTTGGATGTTTACGAATGGAAGCCAGTTCTCGGTAGGTTTTTCTCATGCAAATTTTATATACTCTGAAATGTTTTCACATAAACGAAATGCTTTCACTATTAAACAAATGTGTGTGCAAAGAAAAGCATTGTGCTCAGCATTTGGAGAGGAATCTTTGGAAAAGAATAGTAGCTGGATCTTAATCGGTATGTGGAAAGATTCGGTGTGCTATTAAGAGCATGTTAAGAAAAAAGTTTGAAGATCTATCACGGCAGATCAAATCAAAGAAACGCCGCTGGTCAAGTTGCAAGTAAAAACCCTGAAATAGGCTGCGCGCCAAGAACATCCAGGTTTACTGTGCTAGGAGGTATAACGCTTCCAGGAGATGCGCGTTCCTTGCTAGAATTGGGTCCAAGTTTTGCACCTAATCAACCCATTTCTAAACCAATCCTGAACAGGATCAAGTGTAGTCTGCATGAACTTCAAGATCAGCTACATTACAGGGTTAGGCTAGAAAGGTTAGGTAAAGTAGTACCAAGGAGGGGCTACCACCAATACCTTTTCCCCGAACTTTCTTTAAACAAGAGCTACCAAATAGCGATATTGACTATACCTTTCGTTTATTTTCGGACGAAATTCTAATATACTATACTAATATACGCATACTTAATCATTACCAAAGAACAAAAATAAGCTCCAACCTCACACACCAACAAAAATGTAGTATCCACTAGGTTAGAAAGCTCTTGAATTCAAAATCTGTTAGACTTTCTATTATTGGTAAAGGTGGAGAATTTGTAGTTATCCTTAGTCAGTTGGATATTAGGATAACACAGGAGCACCTCAATGATGTTTCCCTGTATCGAACATCCTCTGAAAAGAAATATAGAAACCAATACCGAAAATTAAATCAAGAATGGGTCAGCACGGCAAAGGGCACGGGTTTAGAGCCTTCAGTTATTTCTCGACTTAAAAACGAACATCCGATTTGCCCCGTCCTTTACTTGCTTATTAAAACACATAAGCTTACTTCAACTGATGATATTTCGTCAACGAACCCATCACCATATAAAGTTAGACTGTCATAAGTTGTGAAGGTGGGCCAACAGATAGAATAGCGCGTTTCGTAAACCTTATCTTGATCCGGTTGCTGAAATTCGTTCCAACCGATTTGCCTAACACCAAAATATTTCTAGGGCCACCCACGGTGCGCGTAACCAAACAGCACGCACGTAGTGGAGTCATTCGATGCTACTTCACTGTGTACCAACTTGTCGAATGACTCTGCAATGCAAGCCATTCTCGAGTTAATCGTAGAGCATGAAAAGAAAATAGAAATGAACGGCTTGTCGTTTACGCAACTAATGACCCTCTTAAAACAGTGTCTTATTTGTTCAATCTTTAGGTGGTCTGGAAAATATTTTGCACAAATTAGAGGGTTGGCGATGGGGCAGCCTTTAGCACCAAGCCTTGCCATCGCTTTCATGTCTAAGGTGGAAGCTCCAGCTCTCGATCACCGACCCTTACTCTACTGTCGATACATAGACGACTATCTGTGTCATTGTCTGTTCAACACAAGAACAGATGGATGAGTGCTTTGAATTATTAAACCGACACGACCGACTTTCTATTAACCTCGGCATTGATCAAGTAATTTTCTTCGTATTTTTGTTGAGCAAACACGAGGTGTTATTATTCTTTGTTCACGATTAAGCTGACGTTTCGGCGGATTTCGCCTTCCTCACAGCCTGGAAAGGTCAAGTTGATAGCAATCTACTCGGCCAGACGCCTCCATAACCAAACAAAGAAACTCTAAACCAAAATTTCAATCACGTTGAATACAGCTTTGCACACTCACCGCTTCCTATGAGGTTTCCATTAAGTAGGTCACGTAGAGACCAACCGCACAGAAATCACGTGGAAGTATAATGTGCCCCTCACATCAGAAAAGCAGTTTTATATACTGCCCTATATCACGCGTGATAAAGAGGCATTCTTCCCTGCGGTTCATTTTCGGATTTCTGGAATTAATCCAGAGTGCCTCGAGAGTTTTTCGCGCCTGTGTTCTTGATTCGCGTGCGAGGATCGTGACACATACTTTGAAGTCGTCCCCGTTATGTCTCTGGGTCCTATGCGTGCCTAGCTGGGTATTTGGTCTATTTTTGCCGGCTAGGTGTTCTTTCATGCGGACACAGAGGGGTCTACCCGTTTCGCCAATGTATTCGTCACCACATGTCTTACAGGAGATCAGATAAACTATACCCGAGCTCATGCAATCACCGTCTCTACCACTGGGGCAAATTATGCAATTTTGAGTTGCACATAGACGGTCATATAGGCGGTTACGAACTAGCTGGAGCTTAAGATTACTCGGTGGTATTTCAACTACGCTCATCGAATTCTCTAAGCCCGCTCTTCTTAAGCAGCGTTTTATAGCTGTACTTATATCATTTGAGATGAAGGGTAGGATAAACGGGACCCCTCTTCTATCTTCTATCTTCTCAGGATAGGTGTAGAGGAAATCGTAGGCCTCCAAACGACAACTCTAGCGATAGAAGGGTCCCGTTTATTCTACCTTTCATCTCAAATGATATAAGTACAGCTATAAAACGCTGCTTAAGAAGGACGGGTTTAGAGAATTCGGTAAGCGTAGTTGAAATACCACCGAGTAATCATGAGCGCCAGCTAGTTCGTATCCGCCTATATGACCGTCTATGTGCAACTCAAAATTGCATAATTTGTGATTGCATGAGCTCGGGTATAGTTTATCTGATCTCCTCTAAGACGTGCGGAGACGAATACATTGGTGAAACGGGCAGACCCCTCTGTGTCCGCATAAAAGAACACCTAGCCGGCAAACATAGACCAGATACCCCGCTACGCACGCATAGGACCCAGAGACATAACGGGGACGACTTCAAAGTATGTGTCACGATCCTCGCACGCGAATCAAGAACACAGGCGCGAAAAACTCTCGAGGCACTCTGGATTAATTCCAGAAATCCGAAAATGAACCGCAGGGAAGAATGCCTCTTTATCACGCGTGATATAGGGCAGTATATAAAACTGCTTTTCTGATGTGAGGGGCACATTATACTTCCACGTGATTTCTGTGCGGTTGGTCTCTACGTGACATACTTAGTGGAAACCTCATAGAAAGCGGTGAGTGTGCAAAGCTGGGTTCAGTGTGATTGAAATCTTGGTTTAGAGTTTCTTTGTTTGGTTATGGAGGCGTCTGGCCGAGTGGATTGCTGTCAACTTGACCTTTCCAGGCTCTGAGGAAGGCGAAATCCGCCGAAACGTCAGCTTAATCGTGAACAAAGAATAATAACACCTCGCGTTTGCTCAACAAAAATACGAAGAAAATTAAGCCGACAGTCAGAGTATATAAAATTTGCACGAGAAAAATCTACCGAGAACCGGCTTCCATTCGTAAACATCCAAATAAAGCTCTCAGTAAGTGGCTATGTAACAAAATGGTATCGCAACCCAAGCAATGAAAACATTCTAGTTCACTACCTCTCCTCTCATCCTTCACACATGAAAAAAGCACTTATCAAAAACATGTACCGCACGGCCAAAAATGTGTGCACAGGAGAGGAAAGGAAGGAATGACAAAACCTGGCACGAAAAATTGCCATTTCGAACGGCTACGAAGTAGAAGCCACTCGGGTTAGACAAAATCGTAGGATAGTTTCCCAAAATAATGTTTCAGACGAAAGTAGGATCCCCTTTGAGCTGCCCTTCATATCAAATGAAGGAAGTCACGCCATTAAAAAGTGCTTAAGAAAAAGTGTTCTTGAAAATTATGTAACGATTATTGACATCCCACCCAATACCCTACGCCGCCAGTTAGTTCGAAACCGTCTCTATGATCGTTGGTGCAGTTCAAAAACTGTATAAGCTGTCCTAACGGGAGAGAAGGGGATAGCATGAGTCTAGGTATAATATACTTGATCTCATGTAATGCATGCGGCGAAAAATATATCGGGGAAACGGGTAGATCACTTTGTGTCTGCACAAAAGAACATCTAGAAGGGAAAGTTATGATCCGTCAAAACACTCCTCTAGGTACGCATAGGGCACAAAGCACAACGGTGATGATTTTGGCCTTTGTGTTCAATATGGGGTCTATTTGTATGTTTGATCTTCATTAATACTCTAACCTTTTTTTCCACCGAATAATAAAAATATTCGAATATAAAATACGTCCAGGCTCTGAGGAAGGCGAAATCGCCAAAACGTCAGCCATCGATCAATAACATCAAAAACAACGACGACAACGAAGATCTGAACCAACCCCGCGTCAGCTTAAGAAGACCAGTTTATAAGATCACATAAGTAAATATATCAGCCATCTATGTCGAAGTTTATAGAAAGTCGGTCTTCCGAGTTACTGTATAAAGCCGATATGCATCTGAAATGACTGTAACGATTTGTGATAGGCATTCCTACAATGCAAAATTGTTCCTTTATTTAAATTTCAGATTTCACCCTGACTAATCTAAGAGTAAGCTCCGATGACAATCATGTGACAAGGACCACAATTGAATTTCAAGTGGGAAACGGTGTGCAGAAACATCTGGTGAAACACCATCAGTGGAAGACTTGGTGATTGTCGTCGTCTCCTTACTTCTTTTTACAAATTATTTTCAACGGTTCTTTTATCTGAAGTCCTATAGACGTTTTTTGATCGAATATCACTTTAATGTATTATATTGAAGGCCTGACAAAACTATTCCTAAGTCATTGCTTGCTGTGTTTCGAATTCTGGAAGTGGTACGCCGGTCGTCAAATCCAATTGTTATACACTGTTCAGCTGGTATTGGACGTACAGGTTCAATGGTAGGACCATGTTGAAAACCGTTAATAGTGTGCTGGAACGGAGCTGACTACTCGTGTCATTACTAAACGTTGCTCACATTCCAGATGGCAATAGAAATGGGACTGCAAACACTACTAGCTGGACAGAAGCTTAATTTATTAGAAACGTGTAAGAAACTACGAGGTATGCCTTCGGTTTTAATTTGATAGAAAGGATAAAGGATGAAGGCCTTGCGATTCGTCAGTGTTTTATGGATTTGCTATACTCGAGGAGCTAACATGAGCATCGTAGTTGTAAATAGATATATATTTCTTCTGTTTTATTTTATATTTTATATGACGGAGCGAGCGAGGCGCAGTGGTTGGAGTTGCCCTGCAGCACACACGTGGAATCGATTCCCGCGCCCATGTCCCAGCAAGCCTTCCATCCCTCTGTGGTCGAAAATTAGTATCAGACTTGTTTGGAAGGATAGCAGCACTGGCTCGGTGCATCGGTAGGCTATCGTGAGTCATAAGCCGTGAGTTGTAAAAGCCAGATATGCATTCTCGAATCTATGGCGCATCCCTCAGGGATCGATCAACGCCGACATCTATAATGCTGAGATATCTGCAAAACTCCGAACCGCAGGTGTCGTCGGTGGAGAACGAACGCGATATTATCCTTTCGGCGACAGCTTTATTTTTTTATTTTATATGACCCATCTTCACATCTACTTTGCGGATCCCAGCACTGCTCTCATCCGATGCGTTTCCTCGCATCCACTGTCCACGAAGATCTTCCAACTTTTACATGTGGCTTCGGTTGCTGCTCGAGGATTTTCATTTGATCTCAAATGTCGTAGAATGCTGGCTGACCAATTCTCTCTAGAGTCCTGAAATAGTCAAGCTGGAGCGTTTCCAATTGAGTTGCAGAGAGTGATTTCTTTCCAGAAAAGTCCGGTACCAATTTTTCGACTTCGGAATCTTGGTTGGGTTGGAGCGGAATCGAACTAACACCATGCTCGTGATGACATACATCACTACTACTGTGCTATCTGCCTCATAGATGTATATTTATTTCACATAATGACTTACAACGCCAACCGATCTATCGACACAGCGTTTGTTGTAATCCCAGACGAGCCTGTTCCTAGTTCGCTCAGCTCCTTGGGATGCGAAGCTTCGTTTACATACAGTGTGAGCAAACCAACCACCATTTGTTTCTCGCAGCTGATCTACGTGCATTCTCTTAGCATTATTATGGCGTTGTTTTCCTATCGAGCCTTCCTTCTTATTCTGATTCAGTTGTATTTTCAGTGCTTCATATAGTCTAGCACAATAAAGCTCTGATAGTGCATATATAGTGGGAGGTTGGCTAATGTCCATACAAAGCAAGGCACCCTTTCTTAATAAATTTTCCTGCTATTGCCAAAAAGCAGTTCGTCGTGCCTCTGGCTTATAGATGTTTTTCATAGACAAAACTTTGACTCAAGAGCGTTATCATGGTTATCGTGTAGCTAGATTTCCACCTTTTCTCAATGTTGTAGACCAGAGAATGCATGGTGTTCAAGTGGAAGTGCAGTATGTGTATGTGGCAGCAGCGTTATGCGAGTACGGTAAAGCAATGGGTTACTGGAACGATCCTGAACTTATCGATGTAAGTCTAACTGTAGAATTTTGTTACAGAGTTTATAAAGTAATTCTTGGTTAAGTTACCTTGTTTATTAATTTAGTTAAGGAATCTATTTGTTTGAAACTTTTTAAAGCGCTTCCCTGAGTTTTTTGAGGTGTGTTGCCTCCTTAATAAAAAAAAGTCGGATTTTTGATCAGCTTAGATGGTTATGCTGTCTTAGCCCTGTTTTCCATAGTATTCTGACAAGCTGTTTATTTTCTCTATATTTTCAGCAGTACCAGAAATTTAAGACAACGTTCGATGAGCATGTTGCACGGCTACCACCGCCTGATGCAGCAGTTCCCCAACAAGCCGTTCTTCTAGCTCGTGCAGCCATACAAAACCAACAAGTTCCAGAGAATCAACCACTGTTACAGGGACAGCCTCAGTTACCACTGATGGTGATTTCGCCAGCTCAAGAAGTGGCGGCACCAGCACCGCCTCTTGACACACAACTAGCTAATAAGGAAGGAATAAGAGTCGAATCCGTAGAAAATAGGGTACCTCCACCATTGTTGTCTGCTGGCCCGACGCCAGCGCTACAACCTTCACGTGAACCACCACGATTACTGCAAGCGGTCCCTGGACCGACCAAAGTGCTGCAGTCGATTCCCGAACAGACCCGAAAAACGCAGCATGTCTCTGGACCACCACGATTACAATCAGATTGCGAACCTCCACTAATGATGAGACCGGGTTCAATTTCACAGGACGGCAATTCTATCTCACCAGCCGCTGCGGAACAATGCGCAGCACACCTATGTGCAGCAACATGTAGGCCTAGTGCCTGTTCTTCATTGCGGAAATGCAAGAGTAAGAAAAGCATCGATGCTGCTATGGTGAACATGATTCCAAGCAATGATGCTGTCCGTGACCGTCAGGCCCAATGTGGGCGTCAACCAGTACCACATTCCGTCTATATAAATTTGAAATAGATTTTAAAAAATAAGTCATTTTTAGATAGATTAAGTACATGTTCTTATAAATTTTTCTAGCATACTCATAAATGCTTTGTGAATAAAACTCTACGAGACAAAGACGTAGAGCACTCGAAAGCAATATTTCAAACATATTGTATACCATGTATTTGCATTGACTGAAATTTGGTGAAGAATCATGAATGAACACAACGAGGAAAGAACATTCATAAGCCGGATAGAAGAAATGTTGTCGTGTAAGGCGTTAATTGTGTTTTAGTGATGAAAGGATGAGGTTGGTCATTTGATAGAGAAAGCTCTGTCAACTGACTACCCCACGTTCTATTTCTGCACTTTTTCATCAGATGCGTAAGAGTGCAAAAGTTTGCAGAGCGCTGATTAGAAATTCACTGCAATACACACGTGCTTATTGGTTCGTTTCCGCTCTTGCATACGAAGATCTTCATCGGAACAGGGAAATTAGTACCAGACTTTCTCTAAAAAAAAAGCCGCCTTGATACATCGACAGACCCGCAGTGATTTTGCGAAAAAGACGAAATGACCATTCATGGTTACGATGCTTAATGTAGTAGAATGCATAGCACGTACCTATGGAATTGATTAGTGCTGAGTGCTTCATACTAGCAGAAGATGAGAGGCTTAATAGAGATGACGTTGCAACAATACGGAAAGTGACCGCGTGTGCATGCATATGTTACTTTCTTTTTGTGACGAACGGTCGATTACCGTCACCGTAGTGGTTTATTCGACACCATTTTCAACAATGAAGTAAATCTTCTGATTTTTTGTGAAAAATAGGTGAGTGAACGGGACAACGCTTTTGTCGGATGGAATCCAGCTTGTTTAGTTGCTTCGCTACCCGAAATGTGCTTTGGAAGGTGATAAAAAGTGCATCATCTGAGTAAAGGTGAACACATTTTAGGATAAATGGTGGAGTAAAAAACGTCCGGTGTTCACAAATACTGGAAGTAACCATCATTCCTTCGATTGTACTCGCAGCATGGTAGAAGTTATCGAATGCATATTTCTTCTATTTAGTGAGGTGTGTAAGCCCACAAACAAAACAAGATACAGACACAAGTGGACGATTTCCTTTTCCCAGGCACCGGAGGGCTTGGTTAGTCAGGAACAACGGACAGAACAAACGACTACATGCAAAGCCCATCTGAGTAACCACTGAGCTACAGACACAGAAATAATAGCAATTTAATAAGTTAGTAGCAAGGGTCTTTCTATTGCTAGCGTGTTAAAACTACCAGCGTCCAATACTCATAGATAAAAAGATTTATCTACATTATAGCTTAACCTATGCTACACAACACATAGATGTTGATCGATCGCGTGGTGTCTGGGACGTTTGTGCACTTGTGACGACAAGTCCGAAAAAAAGTGAAGTAGTTTAGAGAAAAAAACAACCGTTATCCGTTTTTGAGAAATAGGCTGCTTTAATATCCTAACATATCTTATTCTTTTTATTTGATCCCTTTCCACGTCTACTGTGCGGATCCCAGCACTTCTCACATTCGATTTATTTTCTCGCATCTACTGTCCACGAAGATCTTCCAACTTTACGTGGAGCTTCGGTTGCTGCTTGACGATTTTTATTTCATCTTGAATGTCGTAGAATGCTGGTCGAGCAACTCTCCATGGAGTTTTGAGGTAACCAGGTTGGAGCGTTCCCAAATGGATTGCAGAGAGTAAATTTTTCTCAGACAAGTCCAGTACCAGCTTCCTGACCGCGGAGGGATGAGAGGCTTGTTTGGCCCAGAGCGGAATCGAACTAGTACCATGCTCGTGATGGCGGACATTACTACTACTGTGCTATCCGCCCTTTGTTTTATGATATTATGACATTTCATATGAGATTGAATATTTCATATGTTAGAGTAAACTGATATGAAAACAACTCAAATTTTTTTCCATGTGCTCCGTTTGTATCCGACTTTCAGAATTGGCCTATTTCGGAAAGAAGTAGGTTATAAAGCGCTGACGTCATAGCGTTGTTTTTCGAGGTTTCTTTGAACATCTTGCTGCTCCACACGTTCCCTACTCTACATAGGGTGTGGAGAGATCAACGATTTTTGAAACTACTCAGTAGAAAGTTGCTTTAACTCTAAATTCCTTCAAAAGTGTTCAAATTCATAAAAAGAAGTCCTTTAAGACAATGTTAATTTTTTTATTTAGTGCCTATTGCTGATGGCATTGATCAATAGAACTAGCTGAGAGACAGGCGAAACCAGGGACCCACATCATCTGGTAGTGAACGCGTTCGCCCCGGAAAGGGTAATAGCGCGTTAGTTCCCCACAGCAGACACCTGCGTTTCGGATTTTCGCAAATATCTGAGCGTCATTGTGGTTGCATCTTTAAAGACACTTTAATTTCAATCATTCGTGATAGACTAATGCTAACAACAAGTGTCTTTTTCTTTTCAAAAATAGGTTATTGTCGATGTCTACAGAAAGTGCCCAAAAACGTAGCTCTACCCGCAACACTAAAATAATTAAGACCTCATGTTTGGACAGTATCGTCACTACAACTCCTAAAATTTCACTGTAATTCGACAGAAGATGAAGAATTCCACGTCTGTGTGCCTTTGAGCGCAATACAATACTTATACGTTGATTGTTGATGGTTACACTCAATGCGATGAATGTGACCGTTATGCTTCGAACGATCACGGGCGTTGATAATTTTTGTCCACGGCAGTTTCTTTCTTAGCAGACGCTCTTGTCGTAATTCCCTAGAAATAGAATTTGTGAGCACGAACAATTTTGTTGTACTAGCACGAGTTGTTTATTCCGTCATAATAACAGTTTATAATCTCTACAGAATGGTGACAAGCTAATGAACACTGCTGGTATTTGGAGAATGCGAGTCCGTGGTTGGAAGTTCCCGACAATGCTCACTTGATTGTTGGTTCGATTTCATACGCGCTACCTAAACTTCTCATCACTGTATAAAAAATGAGACCGGGCTTGTTTGGGACGGTAAATAATCTATTTTGATATATTGGTAGCCGCCGAAAGACGTTATATAGGTCAGATTTGCCGTCAACCACTTCTACGGTACCTGTTTCTAATAGTTCGAAGGGATTGTTCAGCAGATTTTCTTCTGACTTACACTGTATATAAAGAACTGACATAAAAACCTACTGTTTTAGAAAATAATTCCACTGACCCATAGCAATTCTGGGAATTCAAGAGATGCATAGGTAACATTAGTCCTGCAGCCGATTTCGATGAGGTCTGGTGCGGCCTGTCCACAATCGGCAAAGACTAATTAAGTTAATAAAGAGTGTGCTTGTCCATTAGGTGAACTCTTGCTTATTATAAAGCGAGGTAAACGTAGAATTGCTAAATAACTCTGATAAATCTTTGAAAAGACGGAGACACATAACGCACACATGTATAGCACGGGTCAAATTTGAAATCAAACGCATTAGAAACTAATCTGAACGACGCATTTTGAGAAACTGGTTTCGAACAATAGCAGAGCACCACTGGCATCGAAACGAACAAAAATCAGTGCAGTGCATAATTCTGATATCGGTGGAATTTGCCGATTATAACACGGTGATCCAAATCGATTCTATCATGATAGGTGTCACATATGGCTCACGCATCCTTGGACGTTTAGCAGAGTGAGTAATGTATGGCTTGAACGACGCATTGAGTAATATTAGGCGGCTAATCGTACAGAAACACTCGTTCAAAGCTCCTCCGTTATCAGTGTCAGGTCAGGCCACATAATTTTTATTTTCAGATGACCAACCATTGGGGTGTTGCTTAGCATTCATTCGGAATGGTTTCACCTATACGTTTTAGTTTCTTTCTGACGGCTATTAGTTCCCAGTGGTTTAGGTCGGCAGCCCTTCCTCACGTTTGAGATATTTCACTCCTTATTTACGTAAGAAGTATTTTGAAAATGGAAATCCGAAAAGATCTGCTCTTCATTTCAAGTCATTGGAGAGAATGTCTCTTGGCATTGAACTCAGAGAAAGCACACGGTGTTTTTTTTTTATTTAAACAAAGGATGATTACTTGACTTCGAAAAAAAGAAAATTAAAAAGTCTAAGGTGGAAGCTCCAGTTCTCGATCACCGACCCTTACTCTACTGTCGATACATAGACCACTGCTTCATCGTCTGTTCCACACAAGAACAGATGGATGAGTGCTTTGAATTATTAAACCGACAGTCAGAGTATATAAAATTTACAAGAGAAAAGCCAACCGAAAACTGGCTTCCATTCTCAAACAACCAAATAAAGCTCTCAGAAAATGGCTATGTAACAAAATGGCATCGTAGGCCAAGTAGTGAAAACATTCTAGTTCACTACCTCTCCTGTGATCATTCATACATGAAGAAAGCACTTATCAAAAACATGTACCGTACGGCTAAAAATGTGTGCACAGAAGAGGAAAGGAAGGAGTGACAAAACCTGGCACGAAAAATAGCCATTTCCAATGGCTACGAAGTAGAAGCCGCTCGGGTTAGACAAAATCGTAAGATAGTTTCCCAAAATAATGTTTCGGACGTAAGTAAGATCTCTCTTAAGCTGCCCTTCATATTAAATGAAGAAAGTCACGCCATAAAAAAGTCCTTGAGAAAAAGTGGTCTTGAAAATTATGTAACGATTATTGACATCCCACCCAATACCCTACGCCGCCAGTTAGTTCGAAACCGGCTCTATGATCGTTTATGCAGCTCAGAAAACTGTATGATCTGTCCTAACGGGAGAGACGGGGATTGCATGAGTTTAGGTATAATATACTTGATCTCATGTAATGCATGCAGCGAGGAATATATCGGGGAAACGGGTAGACCACTTTGTGTCCGCATAAAAGAACATCTAGATGGGAAAGCTAAAATCCGTCTAAACACTCCTCTAGGTACGCATGGGGCACAAAGCACGACGGTGATGATTTTGGCCTTTGTGTTCAATATGGGGTCTATTTGTATGTTTGATCTTGATTAATACTCTAACCTTTTTTTCCAC